CTCTCTCTCTCTCTCTCTCTCTCTCTCTCTCTCTCTCTCTCTCTCTCTCTCTCCTTTTCCTTTGTAATCTCAGTCTCACACTGCCTCTCAACAGTCTCAACAACTAAAACAGTCCTTACTTCCGCTTTTCAAGTTCAGAATCTGTCCTTGCTTCCTCTGTTCGACCCTCTCCTCATGGTTAAACTTTCTCTTCCGCCCTTCCGTCGGCCGTCGGGTCAAGAACGTATTATAAGGAGACGAAAGACGAGCTCTTAAAAAGCCGGTCTATATCAACACGTTGTTTCCTTCCTTCCTTCGTTACTTCCTAAGTTCCTTACTTCCCTCCTTTCCTTCCTCCCTCCTTCCCTCTTTTTTTTTTTTTTCATAACAATATGGACGATTTCTCGATTTATGCGTGTCATCCTTGTGCAGGGGCCATGCTAATCTGCTCTGTACCCGGGCCGCTCAATTTCAACGGGATGTCGTCTGTTCCCAAGGACCCTCCTTCCCTCTCTCGACCTTCCTTCCTTCTCCTTCCTTGCCTTTCTTCCTCCCTTCGTCCTTGCCTTTCTTCCTCCCTTCGTCCTTGCCTTTCTTCCTTCCTACCTAAGCTTCCTTTCTTCCTTCCTTAACTCCCGTTCCTTGACTCTCGTTAGGAAGAAAAAAACGACATCTTCCTTTCAAACACAAGAACAAAGCTGAGAAGAAGATAAAGAACAAGTGAACTCCGGACTCAACCAGTTCAGTCCCTCCTTCCCTCTCTCTTCCCTCGTTTCTCCTTCCCTTCCTTCTTTTCCTTCATTTGATTTCCTTACTTCGTCCAGTGACGTCTACCCTTCCGAAACTTCCAGCGAAACCGCACAGAGATCCCAAGTGCACGTACTATGTAGGCAAGGACGTTGGGTAGGATTGATGAACGGATTGATGAAAAAAAATATTAATAATAACAAGACCTGTCAGTCAAGCTTGTCCATGCTGGCTGCCTCGGTTGCTACCTAGCTGCGTGCTACTTTCTTTCTCTTTTCTTCCTTCTCATCGTTCATCCTTCCTTCCTTCCTCCTTTTTTTCTCTCCTTCCTTTCTCTCCTTCCTTGTTCCGTTCCCGCTTGAGAGAAGCCGCACTACCTAGCGGCTCTAAGGGTGGGGCTGTCTGCTCAGCGCCAACGAGAAAAGCTCACTACGTAGTTAGTACGGACGAGTTTGTGCTCAGCCTCGTTGGACCTCACCTCACCTCGCTGCGCGGGCATACCACAGCATCGGTTCCTGCCTTACGCAAGAGGGAGGGGACTGTGAAGCCGCAGTGTCACCCCTCTGTCTATCTCTCCGATGGGAAGAGCTTCCGAAAGAGATTTTTTTACCTTGCAGCCTTAAATTCTGAGTCTCAAATTTTCAATATCTCACCGACAAACCTCATCAAACCTCAACAAAACGGACCTCACCACATTTTTTTCGCTCTCGCTCTCAGTCTCGTTCGTCGTTTTCTAAGCAGGAAAACCATTTGCTCCTGCCAGCCAGCATCGACAAGTTCGACAACGACCTACCCAGCATTCCCGAGCGAGGGATTCCGTTCCACCTGCGGCATTATGGTCGCAAAAGGAGAGCAGGGATGAACGGAGGCCGATTATCGTCGATCGAATCCGACCATGATTGCGACCCGATGCATTCGAACTGCCGCTGCGAGTGGCCTCGCCTCCGACGAGCTGTTAGGAACATACAACACCTGCCCGGGCTGCCCCCCCCCACAACGGGCACGATAAATTCAATCTCATCCCTTGACACCCAGCGACCCCCCACACGTTTATCATCAGCCAGCCAAAGGGTATATGCGAGGGTATGCGGTATACGCGAAGGTAGGCGGCATATGCGTCGTACTATGCGAACCCTCTCCCCTCACGAGGAGCAGGACCGCGGCCGCCACAACGAATACGAAATACGAAAACGATGATGATGACGGCGATGATGGGCGCGTTGATGGCCGCGCATGATGGTGGTGATGATGGTGGTGATAACTGTGGTCGAGTGTTTCCTACCTACTACCACTACTACTACTACTACTACGAATGGCAATGTGGCAGACTGGCAGACGCTTTTTTTAGACCAGCGTCCGTGGCAAAAATGGTCCTAGTCGTTGCCTGTGCGCGCGCTCAAATCGGGATCGGGGTCGCTCGGCCATCTCTCGGCATTCCCGGTGGTGGCAATGGGCGGGGGAAATACCACACTCGGCATTTCCGCTGAACTTCAAAAAATTCAATCGGGCGGGCGCGGGAGCCGAAGGTGGTGGAGGCGGATCATATGGAGATTTGACGACCTGGACGTATCGACTGGGTTGGGAGTGCAAAAGAAGAAGAAAAAGAAAAAGAAAAAGGAAAAGGAAAGGAAAAAAAAAAAAGTGGCGCTGCCGCTCTCTCGGTTATTGGGCCTCGCGCTACTACTACTACTACTACTACTACTGACCGAAATGTGCAGAAAACTGAGAACGTATCTTCTACAAGAACACGGGAGCATACACGCGCATATTTTTTGTCTTTTCTGCATGTGGTAAGTCGTGAAGCGAGGCGCGCCTTCCCTTCTTTCGATCGTTCGTTCGTTCGCCCGTCAATCGTTCCTTCGTTCGCCCGCTCATTTATTCGTCGGTCGCGCGGAGCGAGCCAAGTCGGGAGGAGTGAGCGCCTGGAACACGTCGGCAAAGTCGCTAGCAAGTGGCAACACGAGGCCCCGCTGCACAACTGCCCACATGCACAAACGACAAAAGAGAAGGCAATGCATCTTTCCATGTTCTAGCGGAAGATTCAGTCTCATTTTGCACATTTGGAGAGTTACTGCAGCGAGGCCCACGGAAAGTGAGGTGGGGCCCGCGCGGTTCAACCCTCGTTGATAACAAATAACAAACACTGCTGGAAAAATAATTATTTAATTAATTGGTGTTTTGTCCGTTTTGCCAACCGTGGATCTGGCGAATCCAGGTGAATCTGTTCTGTGGTAATAGCGGGAAGGTGCTATTTCAAGCCCACCGCTGTCCACTTCGCTTTCAACGTCACGTAAGCTGGACTACATCCACAACACCCTACATGCATTTGGACGCTTTTCCTGGGACCGATTCATTCCAATTCCAAATGTCGGACTCCTCCAAACTCACCTGGTCGGTAAAGGCGTCCAAGTCCATGTAGAGTGCTGAGTAGTGGAGCGAGACCCGTGTACTTGGCTCTCGCTCTTGACTACCGGTAGCGAGCGCGGGATGCATCAGAGAAAGGAACCACCGAAAGCGCGCGGGAATAATCGACCCCCTATCGATCTCATCGATGAGATTGATTTCAATCATGATGGCGGCCCTGCGGACCCAGCGCACGGCTAAACGACAAGCAAGCGCCTCTCTGTCGAAGGCTCCGCTAAACGACAAGAACGTCGGCCTCTCCCTCTCTCTGCTTTTTTTTTGCACCCCTCTGGTGAGACCCCCCTCCACCCCGCTGGTCGAACCGACGCTGTCCCTCGCTTCTACTACTAACCCAAGCACATTCGGACGCGTCCAAGATGTTGAATGTGTCCGGTCAGCGAAGCGTCCAAATGCATGTAGAGGGCATCGCCACACCACTCTCCAAATGTGCAAAATGAGAGTGAACTGTCCGCTAGAACGCGGCCAGATGCACGCGCAACATTTTTGTCTTTTTCACATTTCGAGAGTGGTGTGGCGAGGCCCAGAGTGTTGTGCAATGGAGCGAGGTCCTTGTGCTTTCAGAGTAACGGCAATCTGCCTCGCGGCACGGCTCACAAGATGGAGAAAAGACAATAATATGACGGATAGATCATTCCACGTTGTTGCGGAAGATACATTCGCGATCTGGCGAGAGGCGCAAATATCGGGCGTGGTTATTTGTTGTACCTTTATTTTATTTATTTATTTATTTATTTATTTATTTATTTATTTATTTATTTATCTACTTGTACCTTTATTTTCTTTTTTTTACAAGTACCTTTATTTTCCCCCCCTTCGCCCGACTTTTTGTGTTATTTCCCACACCCTTATTTTTTACCCCATCTGAAAATACGTGTTATTTGCTATATCTTCCGGAAACAAGAAAAGACAACAACAGCAGAGGAAGCTTTCGTCATTGCGGTGAGCGATGGGGGGCGTTGCTTGCTTCTTTTCCTTTCCTTTTTTTTTTTTTTTTTTTTTCCTTTCCTATTTGATTTTCCTGTCGGCTCGCC